AAAAACTTATAATATTTTTGAAATTTGGAATAAGATTCTACGTCAAAACTTCAAAAATTCTCTACATTTTTACAGTTTAAATAAACACATTTCTAGAATTCAGTTTTCAGAAACCACAAACTAAAAAATTCAGGTTTTCATTGTTCTTTAAGAGTTTTTTTAGAATTATAGAATTTAACATTTAAAACTTCTAGAATAACTTAACATTTCTACATTTTACAAAGTTTTTAGACATTTCTAGATTACTTATAAATTCGTTCTTTTATTTGAAACATTTTTGAGTTTTTTAAAATTATAGAATCTTATCGTTATTCTAGAATTCTTTGCTAGACTACAGTTTAAAAAATCATATTTTTAGATTTCATAGTTTTCATTAAGTTTTCTAGATTTCGGTTTTCAGAAACACTAAACATTTTTTTAATTTACGTTTTTTTATTTTTTAAACTTCTAGTTTTCTACATTCTTACAGTTAAAAAAACACATTTCTAAAATTAAGTTTTCTCTAAAAGTTCAGGTTTTTTTTACATTTTTAAATTTTTTAAAATTTTAGGATTGAACATTTGAAACTTCTAAAACATAAACAACACACATTTCTAACCACTAAACATTTCGAGATACCTTATAGATTTATAAATTCTTTTATTTTTTAAACATTTTAGAGTTTTTTTAAATTTTAGAATTTTATCTTTTACAATTCTACAGTTTAAAAAATTACATTTGTAGTTTTTTTTTTCATTTTTAAAGATTTTTGATTTTTTTTTAAATTTGGGATTTTACATTTCTTCAGCTTAAAGAGACATCACAAAACAAAATTTTAAAAATTTATACTTTTAGCATTTTAGATTTTAACAATCTTAGTAGTTTATTCTTCAAACATGTGTTAATATCCACGATTTTCTCACACAAAAACCTTCATTATTTCTATAAATTGTATTCCCTACATGCCAATATTCCAGCCCCAACAATTTTTCTCTCCATCCTTTTTAATTGAAACCCATTGATCATCCCCAGTCCCCGTAAAGTGGATGGCCCCGGAGTCCCTCTCCGACCACATCTACACCAATAAATCCGACGTGTGGAGTTTCGGCATCCTCGTGTGGGAGTTAGTCACATTGGGCGCAACTCCCTATCCCGGAATCGCCGTCCAGAACCTCTTCCACCTCCTCCGGCAGGGCTACCGCATGGAGCGCCCCGACAACTGTTCCCCAACCCTCTACAACATCATGCGAAGTTGCTGGCACATCGATCCCGAACAAAGACCCACTTTCCAGGAGTTGGCGACTCTCTGGGAGAAAATGCTAAGCGACGAAGTGCAGTATCTGGATTTGGCCAACAACGCCATCCACAACCGGAGTTATTTCTGCTCGCCGTTTGAGGAAAAACCGGAAACGGATCCGGTTAACTACTTATCCAAGTCGCAGTCGTATATCAAGTGCGGATCGGCGGATAAGTTTCAGGAAAGTGCGGGTTTTCTCGCCGAACCGGATGATAATCAGAATGATATCAATGCGAGGGGGTATGAGACTCCGGTGAAGGTGCCCAAGAAGGTGGTGCACACCCCCACGAATGACTGTCCGCAATATTACACAGATATGGCGTCGGGGAAAAGCACCTGAAATTGATTTTTCAGCGATTTTCTGATGAAATTATCAAAATTTGTATCGTTGTAGGTAGGGGAGTTACTAAGGAATAATAAAGCGACTATTTTTATGTACTTAATTAAGTATTAATTAAAGGCATTATTACGACTGCTTGATATTAAGTGAATGTACTATTGTAGCGAAATATAAATAATAAATTGTTTATATTACATTTCCAGTGTTTTTGTTCGAAATTTCATGAATTTAGTTCCTCCGGGTCATGTTTTACATTTTAATTAAAATTTTAATTAACAATATTTGGAATATCGAATCCCAAATTTGTTTCAAATAAGATTTTTTTAATTTTTAACTATTTTAAATATTCCTGATGAAACTACAGTTTGCAATTAATAAATTTTAGGATTTTCCCGTTTTTATGGATTTTTTAAAACTACATATTTTAATTTTTACAATGTTTTGTGAGATTTTTACGTTTCAGAATTACAATTTTAAGAATAAAATCTTTAGCTTACTGAAAATACGAAAAAACTTTTATCTTTTTTAATTTTTATAGTTCTTCTTATTTCTATACAGAATGCTTTAAAGTTCTAGCAATACAGAAGTTACTAACTGCGGGTATTAAAAAATAAATAAATATTTAGGTTTATCAAGTGTTTTTTTTTAGTTAGTTTCTCACAGTTTTTTCAAGTTTTGAGTTTTTGTTTCAGTTTTTTTAAATTCTCACACTTTTAATTTTTTTATTATTTTTAATTAATCTGCTCATTTTGCAACCCTTGAAATGACTATTTTAAAAGTTTTTACTGTTTTAGCGTTTTCAAAAATTAAAAAAAAAAATAATATTCCTAAATTCTTTAGAATTGTAATTTTAAGCTTTTAGGTTTTTCCAAATTTGAAATAGAATTTTTTTTTAATTTCTAAAAACAAGATTGTTTTTTATTTATTTTACTCTTTTTCCAATCTTTGAAATTAAAACTTTAAAAAATTTTAACAATATTTGGAATATCGATTCCCAAATTTGTTTCAAATAATTTTTTTTAATTTTTAACTATTTTAAATATTCCTGAATTTTTTTTATGAAACTGCAGTTTGCAATAAATTTTAGGTTTTTCCCGTTTTCGTAAATTTCCCAAAACCACATATCTGAATTTTTACAATTATTTGTGAGATTTTTACGTTTCTAAATTACAATTTTAAGAATGAAATTTTTAGTTTTTTAAAAATACAAAAAATTCTCGTCTTGGTTAATTTTTTTAATTTTTGTTATTTCTATTTTAAATGTTTTAAGTTTTAGCAATAGGTACAGAAGTTACTAACTTCGAATATTAAAAAAATATTTAGGTTTATCAAGTGTTTTTTTAGTTAGTTTTTCACAGTTTTTACAAGTTTTGACTTTTTGTTTCAATTTTTTTTAATTCTCACACTTTTAATTTTTTATTATTTTTAATCAATCTACTCATTTTGCAACCTTTAATAACTATTTTTAGGTTTTTAATATTTTAACGCTTTCAATAAATTAAAAAAAAAATAAAAATTTCTAAATTCTTCAGAGTTGTAATTTTAAGCTTTTAGGTTTTTCCAAATTTTAAATAGAAAAATTGTTTAATTTTTATAATGTTTCAAATACCTGTAACTTAATTGTTTGAAAATTTTTAACAATATTTGGAATACCGAATCTCAAATTTGTCTCAAATAATATTTTTTTAATTTTTAACTACATATTTCAAATATTCCTGAATTTTTTTTATGAAACTGCAGTTTGCAATAAATTTTAGAATTTTCCCGTTTTCATGGTTTTCTCAAAATACATACATATTTGAATTTTTACATTTTTTTCTGAGATTTTTAAGTTTTGAAATTACAATTTTAAGAAGGAAATCTTTAGATTTCTGCAAATACAAAAAAGTTGTAGGTAAGCTTTTGTTTTTTCCAAATTTTAAATAAAAAAATGCTTTTTATGTTTTATGTTTT